GGATAGGATAGGATAGGATAGGATAGGATAGGATAGGATAGGATAGGATAGGATAGGATAGGATAGGATAGGATAGGATAGGATGGGATGGGATAGGATAGGATGGGATGGGATAGGATAGGATGCGATAGGATAGGATGGGATAGGTTAGGATAGGATAGGATGGGATGGGATGGGATGGGATGGGATGGGATGGGATAGGATAGGATAGGATAGGATAGGATAGGATAGGATAGGATAGGATGGGATGGGATGGGATGGGATGGGATGGGACGGGACGGGACGGGACGGGACGGGACGGGACGGGACGGGACAGGACAGGACAGGACAGGACAGGATAGGATAGGATAGGATAGGATAGGATGGGATAGGACAGACCCACAGAGCTTGAAAAATGTAAAGGTCTGTTTGGACCCAACAGAACTGGATCCTCATGGGCTATAAACCAGCCAAGGTAAAACCCTGCAGCACCTCAAAAGAAAAAGTTAGTACGTTCAGGAAATGCAGGACCTTTTGTCCTCGAGTCCTTAATTTCCTCTTGGTTTTTACTGCGAATTATCAACTTAATAACGCCAGGCAGTGTCTGCGCTTACAGGTCCACTCTCGCTGCATCATTATTTTCCCTGCTGTTGGAGAAGAAGAAATTTAGTGTTCACGTTTCTCCTTCCTCTACAGTCTTTTAATTTACTGGGGTAATTCGTCAACTCAAGCAGCTCAATATGCAAAGCAGGGGATCAATAGTCAAGGGGTACCCTCCTCAGCCCCGTGCTGGGCGGCTGAAAGGGAGAACAGCAAAAATCTTCCATCAGATACACAAATCTGAGATTCATCTGCCTGAAAGCCAAAGAAAATCCAGGTGTCTGGAGAGGCTGGACCTCTGGCACAGACCGGGAAGCTGATGTACCCGTGCGATAGCAAATGTGGAGAGAAAAACCCACAGGACTAGGAGACAGGGCTCTGATAAAGGCTTGTCTTATCCCAGATCCTACCTTGTTTTTGCAAAAAACCCTCCCCTGTTGCAATTTTTTTCCCCAGAAGTGCAAACCTCAGGGCTAAAATTCCTGAGTATTTCCCCAAAACAGGGTCCGCATTGAGTATTTCTGAGGTACGAGGCCAGCAGCGGGGCTAACAGGTAGGTGTGCAACGTGCTGCTGGCATAGGTCCAGCACAACTAATCGGGGTACCAGATGCAGTCTTGGCCTAGAATTACCATTGTTATTTACTGCGTCAGCCAAAAAACCTGCTTGATGGGTAGTGGAGAAGTCTGCTGCAAGCTCTGGCAGCCAAAGAGACTCAGACCTACCTCAAGGTAGCACTGTGCAGTAATCTAAATTTAAATAGCCCGTTGAGTATGGTCCAAGGCAGCGCAGAGCTTATTGCTGTCGGGTTAAAGGGATTTATAACCGATGCAGGAGAGTGGAAGGTGCCCGGCGAGCCTCAGACTCACGGTGCCGACAGGAAAACCTTCACCTCATCATAAAGGGAAGGCTCCAAAAAGCCCCAGACTCGCCAAAAATCAATTTTAAACTTGCGCTGCCCAGAAAAGGAGCCCAGCTGATGCTCGGATGAGAATTCTGGAAATGCAAAGCCCGCTGAAATGAACCCTGGACTTAGTTTAACTTTGTAACTTTA